AACGCGAGGTAGGAGAAAGAAAGGAGGAAGAAGAAGAAGGGTGGTGAGGAAGAAGAAGGCGACAGCCATAGCTGAGTTGGAGGTTGACCAAAGTGTTGACCACGAAGTTGACCGAAGTTGATTTGAGCGTTGCCCAAGGCTGTTGACTGCGACTTTGACCAAGCTGGAGTTGGTATATTCTCGCCAAGCCCTCAGCCTTTTTTTTTTTTATGGGAACAAGGCTCCAATCTATTCGTGGGGAGCAGCACGTGCTGGGAACCGGGCCCAGCATCCCATATGGAAATTTACATAGGATTTTGAAAGTTTTAAGATACCGGGGCCATTACCCGGCTATGGCTAAGAAATTGGAGCTACTGAGAAAATTGCTGCGACAAACTTCAGAATATAGGCTAAAATCAGAAAACGACTCAGAAACCCCCCATCAATCCTCCTTACCTCACTCCGGCAAGACTTGCACCTCTTTTTTTTTTTCGAAAGAAATTCAGAAGAATTTTTAAGAAAACCATGGATAACTGCTGACCTACCGACCTAATGCTAGGTTACTCGAGCCACAGTTACTGAGACGCCAAGCCCTCAGCCTATCCCCTCACCCTTTGAGACGCCAAGCCCTCAGCCTATCCCCTCGCCCTGTGGATGTGCACTCACCCTATGGTACTTGCTGAGTCTGTCTGTCTCTTCTTTCTGCATTGAGTCTCTTCTGTCCAAGTGTTAGGAACTCCGTGTATGAAGGATAGGGCCTTGTTGACCAAACCCACACGGGCTGAGTAGGGCTAAAGGCTGTGTCTGACGACTCGACTGTCCCGGAGGACACGAACCCTCCCAAGGACCGGTACTGACCTGCGGGCTGCTCGGTGTGGCACAGTAGGCCCAAAATCCGAGCTGTGGGCTGCACAACAGGCTGTCTAAGTCTTGAGAGGACTTGCTGATCGCGTCATCCTGTCTACGACGTTAAATAATTCCTGAGGAGTTACGGGGGATCTCCTTAAATGCCTCCTGATCAGCAATAAGTCCTGTAGTGACAGCCATAGTTTAGGTCTAGGCTAGAGACTAGAGCTGACATGGTCCTATCAAGATTCTGTGGTCCTTAGATTGAGTCAGTATTAGGTTGTGTCAGTCAGGGAGCCGAGGTCTAAGTGGTGAGGTCTGTGCACTTATCACCATGGTTGATGCTCGCAGTGGGAAGAGCACCATGCCGTATAGTAAGGCTCAAGAGGAGCAGGCCGCCGCCATCATAAGAGAGAGAAGGGAGAAGGAGCTCCTTAGGCAGGCAAAGATGAAGATGATAGCCAAGGAGCAGGTGGCGAAGAAGAAGAAGCTGGAGGAGGAGATGCAAAGATTGCAGCAAGAGGAGGAAGAGAGAATGAGAGCTGCAAAGGAAGAAGAGGTTGAAGAGGAGGAGGAGCAGCCGGAAGAAGAGCCCCTCAAACGAAGAAGATTGGGGGAAGGAGCAGAAAGCAGTGGCACGAAAGAAGACGACCCGTGGGTGGACAGGAGGATAAGTGAGTGGGTGGCTAATTTATCGCTGGGAGAGGACGAAGAGGCGATGTTGTATATACCCCAGGAGGAGAAGGAAGCAGCAATTAGGGAGATCGAGGCGACGAGTGACCCCCTAGAATGCCAGGCCATAGAGAACGAGAAGAAGTTGGATTGGAAGTTGCGCCTGGCAAGGGAGAAGAAGAGAAGGACGGAGGAAGCCAACAAGATGGCCAGAGAGGTGGAAAGTTTACAGACATGTAGACAAGAGGTAGAGGCCCAGCCTGACATCCAGGCTAAGTTAGATAAGATCTTTGGGAGCATCGAGCTCCTAGGCAGGGCCTAGACCGAACACCATCACTCTGTTAGGGGCCAAGACATGGCCCTCCACTCCATCCGTTCCGGTTTTAGGGACTTCGTGCGTGACGTAATGACACACGTTGGGACCGAAGTTAGGAAGTTAAAGGATAGCACAGAGAAATTATGCGCAGGCGCCATTGAAGGTGCCAAAGTAGTGGTCGCTGCAAAGAGTGAAGGGCATCCCTGCAAAGAGTCTGTCAAGCTCAAGTTCCCTGACTCGTATGGTGGGAAAAAGGACGAGAATTTTGATAACTGGGAGGCCAGTATCGACACATACGTGTACTTGCAGCATATTGCGCCAGAGGAACGAGTCCTTGTGGCCTTCCATGCATTACGAGACGAAGCGTCCAGTTTTGCTAGGTCTCTCGTGCGAGCAGCCGATTGTGAACACAATATGGTTGCATACTCTAAACTCACCCCTCTTCACACCTTCCTCAAACTCCTAAGAGAGAGGTTCGTTGACGTCACATGAGGCGTCAGGGCCTCTAACAAACTGCAAACAATCCACTCACAACAGTGGAAGAGTGAGAGAGCACTCAAAGCAGTTATGGACGATCTGGTAGCCATCCTAGACCACAGGGTCACTGAGACCCAATTAGTTAACTTCTTTTATCGTGCCATGCCAGAGCCCTTGGGCACTGCTTTGAGAAGACCCAACAGGTCACTACTGCATATGACTCGCTGAGTAGAGAGGTGGTCCTGTTCGAGGCCAAATCCATGTCAGTTTCCACTTTCTGGCATAAGGATTTAAAAAAGGGAAAGAAGTGGAAGGGTCGTACCATCTCGGGTCAGGCCAGGGCGAAGGATTACCTGATCCTTACTTTAGATGAGGGTGGTACTGACGAAGTTCCCTACAGTCAGATCGAGTGGGGGCTGGAGGAGGAAGATAGTAGTGTAGGCCGGGGGAGGACTTACGCTGCTGTCACGGCTGGAGGGAGGCCGCAAGGTAGAGGAGGAGGCCAGGGCCAAGGGGGCCGGGCCATGGGTGGTCGAGGTCTGGGCGCACGGGGGGTTGGCGGCCAAGGGAACCGCCAAAAGGGAGGTAGGGGTTAAGGCCCCCCACCGAATCGTTCAGGGCCCAGTCGATCACCACAGCGCAGAGGTGGAGGATCACCCCAAAGGAGAGGAGTTTGGCACCCAGGTTGGCCACAAGGCCGGCCTTGGGAGGATCTGGGCTTGGACCAGAAGTTGTGGCGACAACGGATGGAGCAGGGGCAGTGCATCTATTGCGGTGACCCTGCCCACATCATTAAATACTGTCCAAAGTATAGGGAAGCCCGATTCGCTGCCCAGGGGTCAAAAGGCAGCCGCCATGCCCTTACCATTAGGCCATGTGGGAAAGTGTGCGTGCACCACCAGGAAACTCCCACACCACATGAGCCCATGGCAGAGGTTGCACGCCAGTGCCTAGTTAGCTGTCCAGAGACTGCCTGTGTTAGAGTCTCTCTAGGCACTTCCCTCACAGGTATGACATAAGAGTTGAAAGAGAGGATGTCGGCCTGGGCCAAAATGAAGAAGGAGAGCAAAGGACAACTTGTCTTAGTATTTAGAAGTAGAGTAGGGTCCCTCATAGACACAGGGGCTACCCGTAGCTATATTAGCCGCAGAGTGCTGAAAAAGCTAAGGATAGGCTTGAAAGTCCAGAAGTTGGCAGACCCCATAGTCAATATCCTCGTAGACAACCGCACAATGCGTGTTGAGGATTACGTTGAGGGAGTCCAAGCGTATCTGCACTTAGAAAAAATGGTAAGGTGGAGAAAGTTCTCCACTCTCTGACTCTCCTCGTAGAGGACAACCTCCCTTTTGATATAGTCCTAAGTATGGACTGGGGAGACGCAGCAGGGGCCACACTCCACGTAAGAGAGCATAAGTGTAGGCTCCCCAGCCCCTCAGGCGAGGTCAAGACTGCCCGTCTGTTCCATGTGTCAGGAGTAGATAACTCCCTGGCACATTGCTGTCTCAATGCTTCTGCGTTCGCGCGATTAGTTAAAAAGGAGCAGTTAGAGGATCAGGTCTTTGTAGCCTATGTGAGGCCTGTCACTGAGCCTAGTGAGGAGAAGCCAATAGACCCAGCTATTGCCAAGCTGCTGGAATAGTTTAAAGATTTGGCAAAGCCGTCAACAGGATTAGCGTCGCGGCCAATCCAGCACCCAATTGAGATAGAGCCTGGCAATAGAACTCCTAAGGGTGCAGTTTACAGGATGTCCCCAAGGGAGTTCGAGGAATTGCGTAGGGAGTTGGACCAGCTCCTCGAAAAAGGTTGGATTAGGCCCAATTCGTCTCCCTTTGGAGCACCCGTTTTGTTTGTCCCCAAAAAGGAGGGAGAGTTGCGTATGTGTATCGATTATAGGGGTCTGAATTCCATTACAGTGAAGAATGATGAGCCGCTGCCCAGGATAGACGATCTCTTAGATCGGGTGCAGGGTTGTAGGTATTTTTCAAAGATAGATTTGAAGTCCGGATATCATCAGATACAAGTTCACCCTGATGACCAGTACAAGAGTGCTTTCCGAACTAGATATGGGCATTATGAGTTCATCGTGATGCCCTTTGGACTGACCAATGCGCCAGCCACATTCCAGCGCTGGATGAATGATGTGTTTTACCGTGGTTAGACAAATTCGTTGTAGTTTACCTAGACGGTATCTTAGTTTTCAGTAGGACCCTCCAAGAGCATCAGGGTCATTTGAGGCAGGTCTTGGAGAAGCTAAGAGAGGCTAATCTCTACCATCGCCGCTCCCCTTCGCATGTTGCTCAAGAAAAATGCAATCTAGCAATCGGACAAAGATTGTACATCCGCTCTTAAGAAGTTAAAGCGAGCATTGATAGAGTACCCTGTCCTCAAGGTTGCAGATCCGTCCTTGCCATTTGTCGTCACCACGAACGCAAGTCAGTATGGTATAGGCGCCGTGTTGCAGCAAGACGATGACAAAGGCTATAGCCCCGTAGAGTTTATGTCAGCGAGGATGCCTTCAGAGAAAGTAGCTACCTCGACTTACGAGAGAGAACTCTACGCTCTCAGGCAGCACTGGAAGCAGTACCTACTTGGGAGACACTTCAAAGTTTATTCAGGCCATGAGACTCTAGGTGGCTGAAAATGCAGACCAAGATGACAACTAAGCTAACTGGGTGGGCCGCTGAGATAGACTTTTGAGCTCAAAACCAGTCAAGGACAAGTATAATGCAGTATAGTTAGAGACATGCAAGAGAAAGTAAGACAGGTGTATGCGCAGGACCCCTCAAGAAAGTTAAGGAGGCCCCAGAGACTGAACCAGATTACCACACTACAGAGGGATTACTGTTTGAGAAAACCAACGTAGTAGACCGTTTGTGCGTTCCTAATAGCGAGGAGATCCGTAGTTTGATCCTAGGGGAATGCCACGGCACAGAGGGACATTTCGGTCGGCAAAAGACTCTAGGCAATCTGATGCAAGCGTATACTTGGCTAGGAATGAAAGCCGACTGCATAGAGTACGTTCGCAGTTGCAAAGTCTGTCAGAGGAATAAGAGAACTATGCGTGCCCCTCTAGGTCTTCTTCGACCCTTGCCTATACCTCAGCAGCCTGGCGATTCAGTATCCATTGATTTCATGGATGCTAGCGTCAAAAGCAGGCATGGAAAGAGCCAAGTCATGGTAATAGTGGATAAATTTAGTAAGTATGTTGTTTTTGTTCCCTTACCCGCAGAAGCCCGTACAAAGTTAGTCATTCAGAAGTTTTTTGACTTTTGGGTTAGTGATCACGGGATCCCATTGTCCATGGTTAGTGATAGGGACACCCAGTTTACAAGTCAGAACTGGCAGAAGTTAATGAGAGTATACGGCTCAAAGTTGTTGATATCGTCTAGCCGTCACCCAGAGACTAACGATCAGACAGAGCAGATGAATAAGATCCTGCAGCAAGTTCTGCATATGTACATTAGACCAGATCAAGTCAACTGGGACGAGATGTTGCCCAAGGTAGCCAGTGCATATAACAACAGCGTGCACCTAGCCACCTGTCGTACTCCCAATGAGCTGCATAAGTCCTTTAGACCGCACAAACCGTTTGAAGGACTTAACCGAGACCAGGTTCATAGGCTACCGCCCGGTACTAGGGAGTTTGCGATACAGCACGAGAAGAAGTTAGTTGCCGTTGTTGAAAACCTCAAAAAGGCCCAGCACAAAATGATAGAGCAGGCTAACAATCACTGTCGCCCGTCACAGTTTCAAGTAGGCGACTTAGTCTAGGTCAAGTCCAAAGAGTTTGCTCCTAAGGAAAACATTACTGCCAGCATACCGAGGACCGTGGCCAGTTCTAGAAGTTAAGGGCGGAGAGGATGGACCGTCCTATACGATAGAGATCCCAGCACACCTCCACATCTACCCTGTGTTCCATGCGTCAAAGTTATTGCCGTTTGTCACAAGTCGACAGTTTCCATCAAGAAGATCCGTGATCCCTCCGGACATGGATGGAAGATATGACATTGAGGGCATTGTAGGTGAAGACGTATTCAGAACAGGAGGTAGAGGTCGTCCACAGAAAGAGTATAAGGTCCGATTTGCTTATCAGGAACCCGAGGACGACCGCTGGTTTACTAGAACTGAACTTCTAGAAACAACTCCCGACGTAGTTAGAGCCTACGAGAGAGAAAGGGAAGGTAAAAATCCGGTCTTGGACCGAATTATTCTCGGAGGGCCTCGAATTTAGGCCGGCGGCAGTGAAACGGTATTCACCTGTTAGCAGTAGCGAATGCAGATCCCAGGGCTCGATCCCTAGTTCTTACCTTACCTGTGTACAGTATCTGTGACGACCCTGAGAGTTGAACGCGTGACCTGTGTATTCGCAACAGTTGGTAGGCTGTCGTAGGTCCGTAGGTGGTAGGGGTTCGATCTGTAGACCTGTAGGATAGAGCTCTTAGTGAGTTCTAGAAGTCATAGCTGTAGATCTTCTGAAGGGTCAAGGTCGTAGCTACTACAGTCCTGAAAGGTCAAGGTTGTAGCTGCTACAGTGTTCGAAAGGGCAAGCCCACAGACTTCCAGAAGGTCCGGAAGTGGCCTTTCGAAGTTGTCTCACGTTTGGACAGAGGTAAGTGGGCAAGTGGTGAGCCCAACTGCGTTACGTCGGCAGTGCGACTACATCGAATTGGCAGTGCAAACCCATGCAGTCAGCGGTACCGGTCCCAGTCAGTCACAGTCCAGTCAAGCAAGTACCGTGTGGGACTGTGCGCACCCAGGGCATGGGAAAGGGGCAGACCAACGAGTTACGGAAGTATAAATCAAGAGGCAGCGCCCAGCCATTTCATTCATTCCTGCGTAAGCCATGCGGAAGCGCTGCTTCAGCGACTTCTGCCAGGTGGCCCGCAGAGTGCCCGAAGACGAAGTGGGCTGAAGGAGATAGTTTGACATAGCTAGGAGAGGGACAACGGCCATAGCCGTCATAGCTGATAGGTGAGTGAGTGTGTACGAGGGCATGTGTATACATGTGGGATATCCAGGGTGATCCGGACTTGAGTAAGTGTGAACAGTGGTGTTGAACAGAGAGACGCGAGTTGGGGTGTACAGGCGCTGATGCGCCATAGCCTGTTGAAGCGAGCTTGTATCTGAACTGTGTTTTCGACTCCCATATCTCTGAGCTTTGAGTGGGCACTGTGCGCCAGTGTGTCCCACCATCTGTTTGCATGAGTGCAGAGTGGAAAAGAAAGCGAGTCTGATTGCTAAATCCGAAAACAAGAATTTTTTTTCCATTTGGCAGTTAGGTCAATCAACCAACCAATCAATCAAGCAATCAATCAGTCTCAATTAATGACTAATCAATCCCTGATCAATCATCCGACCAATCGGTCCCCGCACACGTGTCAGATCAGGATGTCCTGATTCACGTGTGTGCTCCGATACCAACTGATACATGCCCAGTTGGGCAATGTGCGTACAGCCAAGGATCCGCAATGTGATGAAAAGGACTGAATGGACAATGCAATGTTAGTGAAACATCAACAGGCAATGTACACCCTGATACATACAAAATGGCACAAAATAGTGCAGCGGAAAACTCTGAGATAAGTCCTGACCTGACCGGGACTGACATGACACCCCATCACTCGATACACGTGTGAGAAAGGAGGAGGGACCACATCCATGGAAGAAAGGTCCCTCCTTCGTACACGTACATAGGGAGATACCACAGAAGAGAGATGGGGGAAGAGGAGAGACGGAGAAGACCAAGTTCGCAATAGCGAAGTCCAAAAATAGTCCCTTCGCTGATGTCCAATCAATGTCTGTCTCAGAAGTGTCGAATCAGATCCTGGGCGCCATGCCCATTGTAACCTCTGCCTGTATCCCCTGTCAGTAACCTCTCTGTCACTCTACACCTGAAGAAGAAGAAGAAAAAGATGAATAAGAAGAAGATGAAGAAGAAGAAGAAGACGACAACGAAGAAGAAGAAGAAGAAGAAGAAGAAGAAGAAGAAGAAGAAGAAGAAGAAGAAGTAGAGGGAGAGGAAGAGGTGGAGGGCAAGAACAGACGAATGAGAAAGAAGATGATATCGCCCTCCTCACTGTCTCACCTGCAGGAAACTGCTGCCAAGTACTGACATCGCCGGCGTACGCTGTGTTGCAGGTCGCTGAAGCCGGGTCCAGCTATGGAGCCCAGGTACGTGCTCGACGCTGCAGGTATGGCCTCCACCCTATCTCCTGCCTACTCCGCTAATCCTAACGCAGCAGCGCTATCGGTGCAGTGCTGGTCCAGCAGCGTAGCACCCAAGAAGTGAGCTACTCAAACTGTTCGTTGCCCAGCCGCTGCCCAGCTATATGTAGCGCTGGGCGAGGCTGGGCCTACCTGGTGCTGGCCTCAAAACGGCCCAGCTGGTCTGGGTCCCTACCGGACGTCCAGACTATGCTGCTGATGCAGCAGGGCACCAAAACGTGCCTGGCCTCTTTTAGGCCCTGCCTCTGGTGTACCCAGGCCCAAGGTCGTGCCTTGGGGACAGCAGGTCTGAAACGACGTCTGCACAGACAAAAATAGGACAGCAGGTAAGTAAATAAATAAATAAATAAATAAATGCCGCCTATATTTGATCTGCGGCCTGGGGACCGCCGTGGGCCTCCAGGGCGCATGTCTGATGGGCATGCGGCCTGGGGGCCCTTCAGCAACTGTCGGGCCCCTCAAATGGGCCCCGTGTGCAGGCGCAGCATGTAACACTATACGACTCTGTCAGCATGGAACAGTGTGGGACACTGTGAGGCACCATGGGGCACTACGAGATGCTGGAAACACTGTGAGACACTGTGGGACACTGTGAGACACTGACACCACACGACTACGGCAGCGTGGGACAATGTGGGACACTACGACACTATGGAACACTGTGAGACACTATGAGAGACTGGGGAACACTGCGAGAGGCTGTGGGACACTTTGAGACACTGACGCAGTGTGAAACACTGTGTGACAGTATGGTACACTGAGACACTATGGAACACTATGGACACAGACATAGGGAGCACTGCGAGACCCTGTGCGGCGAGACACTGACACCATACAGTCGGGCACTGCACGACACTGTGGAACACTGTGAGACACCATGGAACCCTATGGGAAACTGAGACACTGGGGAATACTGGGGAACACTGTGAGACACTGTGGGGCACTGTGAGACACTGACACCATACGAGTCTGCCAGTGTGGGACAGTGTGAGACAACATATCAAAGACCATAGGGTTCACCGTGGAACACTATAAGACACTGACACCATGACCGACGGACAATGCAGGACAATCGATGGGCCTCACTCCACTACTCAACATTTGACATGTATCTGGACTGTTCTGAGGACCAGTTACATCTGAACTTGCTGAACATTAGAACGTATTGGGATCAGTGCACGATCCAGATGCATGTAATCAGACTCAACTTCAACTCACTTCGAGCATGCATACATACAGATGTTGATGGCAGAAGAGCTTGCACAAACGCAGAACCAGCAATAAGCGTGAGATGGCGATCGGCGCCCACACAGAAAACTCAGAGATATGGCCTCTGGCCAGGAACTCAGTGTAAGTCAACTTCCACAACTTGCGGCTATGGCCGCTGAACACTGTCTGAATTCCCACCCGAACACTGTATCCACCATCAGACACTCTACTCTCACTCACGCATATGTTCACGCACACTAGGATCTACCCTGAATGTCCACGCATACAAACCACACACACACACTCACTGCTGATGCTCTACACTGGCGGCTATGGCTGCCATCTTTCTCCTCCTATCTTCTACCTAGCGGTTATGGCCGCTGTCTCCTCCTTCCTGTCCGCTTCGTCTTCGGGCACCTGCAGTTCTCCAACTCACAAGACACTCAGGAAGTGCTTCCGCATCACTTCCAGAATCCATAATGGCTGGGCGCTGCCTCTTTATTTATACTGTTTTGTCGATGGTCTGCCCTGCCTTCGGGCCCAGGCCCAAGGATTGTGCTGTCCCACCTGGTACTTGCTGACTGGACAAAGTAGACTGGGACTAGGCACTGGGACTGTTGACTGTGCTAGGACTGGACTACCCTTTGCTGACTCACCTACGGACAATTGACCTCTGCAGTACCGACAAGCCAACTACGGACTTCTAGAAACTCCTAGGCCTAGACTGACTGACTCTTCGTAAGACTTGGAGCTCACTTAAGCAACGGACACTAAGACTCACGGTTCAAGTCCACGCGACCAGACAATACATGCAGACTGCTGACAAATGACTTTTGGGCCAGGTCGCGGGTTCAAAGCACACGTGGGCAACAGGCACTGTACAAGGGATCAGGGTTAGGTCTAGGGATCGAGCCCTGGGATCTGCAATTGTCATGCACACTGGGTGAAACCGTTTCATACATTAGGATGTTGTGCTGTAGCGTGAGGCCCAACAACACTGAAGGGCACTGTTCAGCATCATGGGGCACTGCAGAAGGATCTTCAGGTGTCAGGAAACAGTTTGGACAACGACTTTTTTCATTGTTTTTTTTTTTTTCACCACACCATTTTTTGGTAGTACGGAACTGGAGACGGCGCTTCTATGTACTGCTGCGTTAGAGCACAAGAGCCCACAGGAAAAAAAACAAACAAACAATGATGAGAAAGTTGGCATTCCAAGAGTATTCTGCCGACAGGGACTGGCCTGCAGGTATCACACAAACAATTTGTGGCAGCCACACCGTGCTCGGCAAGCAACACACACGACATACGAGGAGAAGTGGATAAAAAGACAGGAGATGCCATTCATTGTGAAGAGGTAACTCAACACACACTAGCGATAACAATGGCCAGGCATTAATGAGATTTAGAGTGTTCTGCTGGCGTTAACGACATGCAGAGATTAGTTAGCCTGCAGGCAGACATCAAACAATTTGTGGCAAGCAAGGCACTCTCGAAAAAAAATACAGCCTGGAGAGAGACATCAAACAATTTGTGGTGTGGCAAGCAACATACTCTACAAGAAATAGCAGTGTGCCAATGGCCAGGACGATAGTTCTACACATGGAATGAGGAGAAGTAGATCAAACAAGGCATCACACCATTGTAAAGAAGTTTGCCCATCCCCATTCCCACATAACATCATATTTGCCCAATATCGAGGTCCACCTGCATGGAACCTGCCACCGTGATCCCACATTAACAGTCCTGTCGCATCGACCAAAAAAACGTGCGCGCGCGCGCGCGCGCGCGAGAGAGAGAGAGAGAGAGAGAGAGAGAGAGAGAGAGAGAGAGAGGTGAATCTCCAAACTCTCTACCCAAAGGACTCAATCTTCAGTGGAGACCCAAGTGCTGGGAGAGAGAGAGAGAGAGAGAGAGAGAGAGAGAGAGAGAGAGAGAGAGAGAGAGAGAGAGAGAGAGAGAGAGAGAGAGAGAGAGGGGTGAAACTCCAAATTCTCTACCCAAAGGACTCAACCTTCAGTGGAGACCCAAGTGCTGGGTGAGTGTTCACATTCTGCATCCTCCAGCTAGGTCTGAGACCACGTTCAATCTCGTTCCTACGTTCCCATCCATTCACAACGGAAAGGAACCCCTCATCCAAAGGTGCCAAAATGTACAAATCTTTATGCCCCCAACGACCACCACCACCACATTTTCCGGCTGCCTACCCTTCCTCTGATCTCCTAATTACCTTCGTTGCCACCCTCGTGCTATGCTATTCAGATATTTTATTAGTATTCACAAAAGCATTCACAAATGGGCGCCTTAAAAAACATGAAATCTGCATCCAGTGAAGTCCAGGGAAGGAGTAGAGCCACCAAACTCCTGCATACACTGGCCCACTTGGCGCTACTCCATCAGTCAGCTTACATAGACCTATGTGCCAGAGCTACACTACTGACAGAAGATCGTCAGGGTAACAATGAACAAAGCGGAACACAAAGTTCTGAACTAAAGACACATACTGGGACTACCATGGAAGCCCGAAACAAAAACAGAGGCAACGAACTGAAGTGACAGAAAAAACAAGGGATGGCTGGTGATAGAGGTTGTACCAAATGAGTTCAACTTCCCTATAACTGCAGAGAACTAACTATCTTCGGTGTCTGGCAGCGTCTCTCATCTCACCACGACATGACAAACACCAAATCAAGCACAGAGGAAGAAAGAATTATACATCTTAAACTGACTACGCACAGCAAAAAAGAGCACAGTTAACGTTAACTGCCTACCTACCAACACGCTGTCCTGTACCCGACACCTACCTCACTCTGCTGAAAGCCCCTATGATATCATAATCATCATCAGCCCTCCTGCCTGCCCCTTCAGAACTTGCCAATTACCTGCGAAAAAGAACTGAACAGTTCGAAAGAATTTCTATCTCAAAAGCACCACACCACTAAACAATCAGCTACCATGCAAGACCCCTGACATTTGTCTATTGCACTGGCAACTTTTGGACAGGAAGGATAGACTGTGCCATCCATCCAATGAGAGGGTCTCATAAGGCGGCACCACCCAGGCAGATGGTCGCACGCACAACCCATTGGATGACAGAGTCTATCATATGTGCTATCTATCATGCTTCCCCACATGACAACATGAAACAGCATAAAAGAGCACAGTTAACGTTAACTGCCTACCTACCAACACGCTGTCCTGTACCCGACACCTACCTCACTCTGCTGAAAGCCCCTATGATATCATCATTATCATCAGCCCTCCTGCCTGGCCCTTCAGAACTTACCAATTACCTGCGAAAAAGAACTGAACAGTTCGAAAGAATTTCTATCTCAAAAGTACCACTCCACTAATTAATCAGCTACCATGCAAGACCCCTGACATTTGTCTATTGCACTGGCACACAACTTTTGGACAGGAAGGATAGACTGTGCCATCCATCCAATGAGAGGGTCTCATAAGGCGGCACCACCCAGGCAGATGGTCGCACGGACAACCCATTGGATGACAGAGTCTATCATATGTGCTATCTATCATGCTTCCCCACATGACAACATGAAACAGCATCCATCCATCATATGACAACCCTGAGAAGATCAGGGTGTGTAGCACCGTCTCAAGAAACGTGGCTGAGATTCCCCTTGGTGAGAAGGGCCTCTGCCTGGTTTCGTCATACTTGCCTACTTACTCCATCACGTCTGCATCACCAGCAGAGTGTGAAGGGCATTCGGTTTCTAATGCAAGGTCAACTGTCAGT